TGTAACCTCTGGTCACCTTACAATAATGCTCACATAACACAATCATTCACTTTGGTTACTTCTGGTAACCGAACACATATATTGACGTTAGTTACCTCTGGTCACCCTACACCGCTGTTCATATATTAACTTAGGTTACTTCTGGTCACCTTGGACACATATTGACTATGTTTACCTCTGGTCTAGTTACAATGATGTTCTGGTCACATTACACACTCATATAATTTGGTTACCTGTGGTCACCTTGTACAAATATACACTATTTTGACCTCTGGTCACCTTACAATAATGCTCACATAACACAATCATTCACTTTGGTTACTTCTGGTCATCAAACACATATATTGACGTTGGTTACCTCGGGTCATTTCAACTAAAGGCCGGAGAACACAGTTATTTCGAAGTGCATTTCTTTTAGACAATAAATGGAAATTAAAAAAATCCCACCTGCGCTTTCTCAATAATATTTTTACAGTATGGTGTACTACTTTTGGGACAAATTATAGCAAAATTATAGAAAACTCAAAATATGGACAATTTTATGTTAAAGGGGTCTTGAATTCTTTTGACAGCTTCCGAGATACTAATTTTTAACCATTTTTACTTGGATCAAATCACTTCTTTACTCTAAAATCCATGACCTAATTTTTTTACAGTGTAGTTTCATTCCCCTAATTGCTATGTGAGGCATGAAACATGAAGAAATAAATGTGGAAAGGGTATAAGAAAAATAGCAAGAAACACACTGTTCACACTAGGGACTATATTCGTAGACACCGAAATTGAAGGGACGATAACTCTGTTCCAAGACCAATATTGACTATGGTTACCTCTGGTCACCCTACACTGCTGTTCATATATTGACTTAGGTTACCTCTGGTCACCTTGGACACATATTGACTATGTTAACATCTGGTCCAGTTACAATGATGCTCTGGTCACAGTACAAAATCATTTAATTAAGTTACCTCTGGTCAACTTCTACATATATTCACTATGTTGACCTCTGGTCATCTTACAATAATACTCACATAACACAATCATTCACTTTGGTTACTTCTGGTCATTAAACACATATATTGATGTTGGTAACCTCAGGTCACCTTACACCGCTGTTCATATATTTACGTTGGTTACCACTGGTCACCCTGGACACATATTGACTATGTTTACCTCTGGTCCACGTACAATGATGCTCTGGTCACATTACACACTCATTTAATTTGGTTACCTCTGGTCACCAAACACATATATTTACTATGGTAACGTCTGGTCATCTTACACCGCTGTTCATATATTGACTTAGGTTACCTCTGATCACCTTGGACACATATTGACTATGCAAACCTCTGGTCCAGTTACAATGATGCTCTGGTCACATTACACACTCATTTAATTTGGTTACCTCTGGTCACTTTGTACATATATTCACTATGTTGATCTCTGGTCACCTTACAATAATGCTCACATAACACAATCATTCACTTCGGTTACTTCTGGTCACCAAACACATATATTCAGTATATTGACCTCTGGTCACCTTACAATAATGGTCACATAACACAATCATTCACTTTGGTTACTTCTGGTCACCAAACATGTATATTAACGTTGGTTACCTCTGGTCACCTTACACCGCTGTTCATAAATTAACTTAGGTTACCTCTGTTCACCTTGGACACACATTGACTATGTTTACCTCTGTTCCAGTTACAATGATGCTCTGGTCACATTAAACACTCATTTAATTTGGTTACCTGTGGTCACCTTGTACATATATTCACTATGGCGACCTCTGGTCACCTTACAATAATGCTCACATAACACAATTATTCACTTTGGTTACTTCTAGTCACCAAACACATATATTGATGTTGGTTACCTCTGGTCACCTTACAATAATGCTCACATAACACAATCATTCACTTTGGTTACTTCTGGTCACCAAACACATATATTGACTATGGTTACCTCTGGTCACCTTACACTGCTGGTCATATATTGACTTAGGTTACCTCTGGTCACCTTAGACACATATTGACTATGTTTACCTCTGGTCTAGTTACAATGATGCTCTGGTCACAGTACAAAATCATTTAATTAAGTTACCTCTGGTCAACTTCTACATATATTCACTATGTTGACCTCTGGTCATCTTACAATAATACTCACATAACACAATCATTCACTTTGGTTACTTCTGGTCATTAAACACATATATTGATGTTGGTAACCTCAGGTCACCTTACACCGCTGTTCATATATTTACGTTGGTTACCACTGGTCACCCTGGACACATATTGACTATGTTTACCTCTGGTCCACGTACAATGATGCTCTGGTCACATTACACACTCATTTAATTTGGTTACCTCTGGTCACCAAACACATATATTTACTATGGTAACGTCTGGTCATCTTACACCGCTGTTCATATATTGACTTAGGTTACCTCTGATCACCTTGGACACATATTGACTATGCAAACCTCTGGTCCAGTTACAATGATGCTCTGGTCACATTACACACTCATTTAATTTGGTTACCTCTGGTCACTTTGTACATATATTCACTATGTTGATCTCCGGTCACCTTACAATAATGCTCACATAACACAATCATTCACTTCGGTTACTTCTGGTCACCAAACACATATATTCAGTATATTGACCTCTGGTCACCTTACAATAATGGTCACATAACACAATCATTCACTTTGGTTACTTCTGGTCACCAAACATGTATATTAACGTTGGTTACCTCTGGTCACCTTACACCGCTGTTCATAAATTAACTTAGGTTACCTCTGTTCACCTTGGACACACATTGACTATGTTTACCTCTGTTCCAGTTACAATGATGCTCTGGTCACATTAAACACTCATTTAATTTGGTTACCTGTGGTCACCTTGGACATATATTCACTATGTTGACCTCTGGTCACCTTACAATAATGCTCACATAACACAATTATTCACTTTGGTTACTTCTAGTCACCAAACACATATATTGATGTTGGTTACCTCTGGTCACCTTACAATAATGCTCACATAACACAATCATTCACTTTGGTTACTTCTGGTCACCAAACACATATATTGACTATGGTTACCTCTGGTCACCTTACACTGCTGTTCATATATTGACTTAGGTTACCTCTGGTCACCTTAGACACATATTGACTATGTTTACCTCTGGTCCACGTACAATGATGCTCTGGTCACATTACACGCTCATTTAATTTGGTTACCTCTGGCCACCTTGTTCATATATTCACTATGTTGACCTCTGGTCACCTTACAATAATGCTCAGATAACACAATCATTCACTTTCGTTACTTCTGGTCACAAAACACATATATTGACGTTGGTTACCTCTGGTCACCCTACAACGCTGTTCATATATTGACTTAAATAAAGTTTGTTTAGCTTATTTGAACAGTTTTGTCTAAATTGCGTTAAAAATTTGAACTGAAAAAGTTCGTTATTAGAGTCATTCCACAATAGTGGTTTCAAAAAGTGGGACAGTGTTTTTTTTTTTTAAGTGATAGTATCATGCCATAACTGGATATAACAGAGAGTTTAAACGTTTAACTACATGATATTGATAATAAAAAGATAAAATTAAGCAGATAAAATGCCAAAATGTGCTTCTGAAAAATGACTGTGGGAAAGTGACGTAGGTTACATTGGTGTCCAGTAAAATGATTTAAATACACATATTTTGTAATAGTGACTATTAAGTTTATGCATTTTCAGTTCATTCCATTGAACCTAATGCACATTTTCTCTGTTAAGTGTCTCAATACTATTTTTTTTGGATGTTTGACTCTCTACAGTTTTGACCAAGCCTCACGAAACATCCTTATTCATGTTTAACCTATTATAAATTAACACAGAGACAACACAATATAAACTGCCTTTTGAAAACAATTTAAAGAGATAGTTTTAGTGAAAAATATACGAAAAGTTATTTTTTTATGAGTATGGAATAGAAAAATAAGAAAATTTGTAAAAAATGTAACGATCATTACAATGGACACCAAAAATTGTGTCAAAAACTAATATCCTAATAAAAAAAATAAGCGTCAAGTTTTCTTATATTTTGATAATGAATTTTATAGAAACTCCATCAAAATAGTTATACAAAGAATAGATATAACATCTACTAAACAAGAGGATGTTGAAATTCAATACAAGTCTAAATATTCCATGTAACAATCGTCACAGAATGTAACAGCCCCCGTACAATTATAGAACCTGTTGTATGTTCAAATAGTCATTTGAGTTTTGTAGAAAGCATCCACTGACCTATAAATGTGTAGAACTCATCAAAAAATCTTTCTTTTCGGTCTAAATCTAGGTTATGTGGACAAATTTTGAGCGAACCAAATGTCTGTTACACATTGAAACACCATAAGAATAAATTTAGTAATTAATATATTGAAACACCATAGGGGTAAATTTAGTGATCAATACACTATTGGGGGTCTGTTTTTTTCTGTGTTGAGTTTTTTAATGTCTAGATCTATCTAGAATATCTCTTTTGCTATATTGATTGATTGTTTTTTTGTGTTTTAACACCACTTTTAACCACTGCATTTAGGCTTTTTTGTTGCTGCCAGTCTTTATTGGAGGAAGCCGGAGTGCCCAGAGAAAACCACAGACCTGCACCTGGTTATGTCTTTTGTCCATTGATTGCCCTTTTTTACTCATGCTTTGGTTGTCTAGATTCTTATGAAATGTCAGTTCATAATTTCTTAATTGTTAATAACATATATATTTAAGGTGGGCAGTGATTTGCTTGTTCCGCATTGGTCAATAACATGGAACCGCTGGGAGGGAGTTTCGGTGAAATGGAATCTTTAATACAGTTTTAAAATTGATTTTTAAAGGGCTACCCAGAACACATGTACATTATAAGTACTAAGTAAAGCCATGAAGAGATGTAAACACAGGGAATCAAGAATAAATTTTCAGTAGTTAAACTCAAGCATAAAAACGTTAACCAAATATTTTATTTGACATAAAACTTGGAACACTCTCTGGCACAGATTCCTGAAGTTCAAAGATCTGAAAAAGAGGAAAATGGTACAGCATTAACTTTTGATATTAACTGAACTTTTCATTATAGTATTCATATATATATATATTACATTTTGCTATGATACATGTGTGGCAAAATATCTATTTTAACCAAATTAATAAATTTATATGAATAAAATAACATTGCTCTGTGTGTGTGAACATCTGAACTGTTAAGGTACATGTATTCCTTCATTGTACAGTACAAACAATGTATATATTTCTTGGTTGTTCTTGGAAAGATTTATAACTTTATCTACATGTACATGTATTATGTACATGAATTTCCACATACTTGGTGAACAAATGGCTCGAAAAATTTACATTCAATTGAGGTATTTGTTTCAATTGGTATCAGCCAGGACACAAATTTACACATTCAATATATATGTCAATGTATGTGTTATAGATCATCTTGAATTTAGTTTAGGGTATAATTCAGAATCATCACTGAACATTTTTTGGAATTATAATTTATGACTTATTCTATTTGTTTGTGTGGACTTGGCCTATCACTCACAAACATCGGACTTGAATTACTTTGTAAAAGGGTGATCTGAGTTTAAACACTGTATTTTTTTTATATCTATATCTTTGGATAATGTAAACTATGTTTAATAAATAATCTCATATCTACCTTTGAATTTGTACATAAATCGTCTAGTTCCAATCAAACAGACATCTGGCGGGTCTATTGGTTTGACCACCTCTGATGATATTATGGAATGGCGTATCGATGCACTTATCCACAAGTCCTCCTTCTTGTGGGTATAGAAGTAAACATAGGGCCACACATCAACCTAAAACAACACAGTATTGATTTTTTTATTGTTCAAAAAGGTATAAAAAATAACAACCACTTATATATCGATACCATACAGTTCAATTTCATCAGATCAGCAAAAAGTTAAAGAAACTGTTTATTACAACTGTAGGCTGATGTTGTTGCAAACCCCAATCACAAATAATTATGATATGTGTAAACTAACTATTTATCCCTCTAAAATTGTGTAATTTAAAGTTACATTTTAGAAATTTATGTAATTATATAGAAATTATAAAACCTACTACATGTATAATATCTAATTATTTGAACTAAAGATCAATCTAGAATACAAGAACCCTTTATTAAAATTCTGGAAATTCAAAATTTTTACAAAAGTATGATTCAAAATAGTGGTTAATTAGACATTTAGAAGTTTCTGCAAAACAATCCTAGAAAATATAACAGTAAAACATAATAAAACTTTAACTTAAACTGAACAAAACTGCAATACTTACAACAGCAGGGTATGTTTTTGTCCCTTGGGCAATAAGCAAATATTGCCACTCATATAACTAATACAATGTAAATATAAAGTTGAGTAAATTTGGAAGCTGAATTATGAACAAATAATCACACTGATATCTGAAGTCAACTTCAATAATTTATGAACAGTTGCATACATGGTTATCAGACATATGTAGAAACATTACTTGGACAGGAATTACAGTCAGCACTCAAGAAATTTTATCATAGCCATCATGAGCTGATCTGCCATTATGACAAAAGTGTGTCAGAAATTGTATCTAGTATTCTTCCTCAGTCACAAGTAGCCTTCCATCATTAAAGGACTGGACAAAGAAATAACACAACAGGTGCCTTATACGGTGCAGGAAATGCCTACCCTTCCAGAGCACCTGATTTCACTGCCAGTTTTAAGTGGAGTTCGTGTTGTTACTTACTTACTTTAACTGTTTGTAAATGTCTGTTGTTTACTCCTTGATTTTGAATGTTATTGTCTTATGTACATTAAAACAACAAGTCTATTCATCACTAATATTTTCCTTACCTCTGTTGCTCATTATATCTTTTAGTGTAGTGCTCAGAGACTAAGAGCTGGTCATATAAGGGCTTCTCTTGGAACAGTACAATACTATTGTCCCTCTGTTCACTGTTATCCTGCAAGTTGGACATCAGAGCCTCTTCCGGTTGAACTGAAGCAAAAGGTTGGACATCCATGGGTTTAACTGTCATCAAGGACTGGTTATCTGTCAGTTTATCCAATAAGGAGTGTTGATCAGTGGTGGTCTCATCCTGAAAAACAGCATGAAATTGTAATGCATGTAATGGCATAAAATTCTTGCACACCTTTCATCATCAAGACAAAAAAGTTCCACGTACCAAATGAAAGCAATACATTAATGGGTCTAAAACAGCTTATTTAATTTTTTTTTAATGGGTGGCTCCATCATTGTCCATTATAACTGTATGATCATGCCCAAAGTCTGGGTCTGCAATTTACATAATAAATATAGATACCTTAGACACAACAATACTATTGTTGCTCTGTTCACTGTTATCCTGCAAGTTGGACATCAGAGCCTCTTCCGGTTGAACTGAAGCAAAAGGTTGGACATCCATGGGTTTAACTGTCATCAAGGACTGGTTATCTGTCAGTTTATCCAATAAGGAGTGTTGATCAGTGGTGGTCTCATCCTGAAAAACAGCATGAAATTGTAATGCATGTAATGGCATAAAATTCTTGCACACCTTTCATCATCAAGACAAAAAAGTTCCACGTACCAAATGAAAGCAATACATTAATGGGTCTAAAACAGCTTATTTAATTTTTTTTTAATGGGTGGCTCCATCATTGTCCATTATAACTGTATGATCATGCCCAAAGTCTGGGTCTGCAATTTACATAATAAATATAGATACCTTAGACACAACAATACTATTGTTGCTCTGTTCACTGTTATCCTGCAAGTTGGACATCAGAGCCTCTTCCGGTTGAACTGAAGCAAAAGTTTGGACATCCATGGGTTTAACTGTCATCGAGGACTGGTTATCTGTCAGTTTATCCAATAAGGAGTGTTGATCAGCTGTGGTCTCATCCTGAAAAACAGCATGAAATTGTAATGCATGAAATGGCATAAAATTCTTGCACACCTTTCATCATCAAGACAAAAAAGTTCCACGTACCAAATGAAAGCAATACATTAATGGGTCTCAAACAGCTTATCTAATTTTTTTTTAATGGGTGGCTCCATCATTGTCCATTATAACTGTATGATCATGCCCAAAGTCTGGGTCTGCAATTTACATAATAAATATAGATACCTTAGACACAACAATACTATTGTTGCTCTGTTCACTGTTATCCTGCAAGTTGGACATCAGAGCCTCTTCCGGTTGAACTGAAGCAAAAGGTTGGACATCCATGGGTTTAACTGTCATCGAGGACTGGTTATCTGTCAGTTTATCCAATAAGGAGTGTTGATCAGCTGTGGTCTCATCCTGAAAAACAGCATGAAATTGTAATGCATGTAATGGCATAAAATTCTTGCACACCTTTCATCATCAAGACAAAAAAAATCCACGTACCAAATGAAAGCAATACATTAATGGGTCTAAAACAGCTTATTTAAATTTTTTTTTTAATGGGTGGCTCCATCATTGTCCATTATAACTGTATGATCATGCCCAAAGTCTGGGTCTGCAATTTACATAACAAATATAGATACCTTAGACACAACAATACTATTGTTGCTCTGTTCACTGTTGTCCTGCAAGTTGGACATCAGAGCCTCTTCCGGTTGAACTGAAGCAAAAGTTTGGACATCCATGGGTTTAACTGTCATCGAGGACTGGTTATCTGTCAGTTTATCCAATGAGGAGTGTTGATCAGCTGTGGTCTCATCCTGAAAAACAGCATGAAATTGTAATGCATGTAATAGCATATAATTCATATAATTCTTACACACTGTGATAATCAAGTGAAAACACATTCACGTACCAAGTGAAAGCAATACATTAACTGTTTAAAAATCTCATCATAGATACAAGGATTAATTTTGTATCTAGCCAGACACGCGTTTCGTCTACAAAAGACTCATCAGTGACGCTGGAATCCAATAAAGTTAAAAAGGCTAAATAAAGTAAACAACTTATTAAAAAAAAGTTGCTCCATCATTGTCCATTACTGTATGATCATGAACACATCTAACATTATAGAAATATTTACCATATTATATTGGTTATTGCTGACGTCTGAATCACTGTCATCAAGTAAATCCATGACCCATGAAGCCAGCTGCTCAGACAACCCGCTGATGTTTTCCAGGTCTATATCTCCAAGAGTGTCAGTACTGTATTCAAGGACATCATCATTTATGGACATCTTCAAAATTGGACAGAAATGGTTTGGAATCCAATGAGCATATGTCATTTCATCATTTATGTTTGATGACCAGAGGATATATGCAGGTGTGTTGCTTTCCATTTCCCTTGGCAAGATTGATCGATTGAGATCTTTTCTCACATTTGGATTTCCACGATTTGGATAAACTGATTGCAGAGGCCTTCCCAAAACTGATGCAAGTGCAAAAATCTGCCAAATTCCCATGAATTCATTTGCACTGCATACTTTCCTAATCTCTTCAAATAGTGTTCTTTCTATCAAAGATGAAGTAATTATATCTCCAGGTGTATACAGCTCTGAATACATAACGTAAGACTTTGGGAGAACAAGCGCTTCTTTATCAGATAGTTGTTCACCTCTCCTTAAATATGTATGGTCCACATACAGCGGCAAATAGCATGCCAGTTCTAATGCAATTCTGACACGTAGTTCCGTATGATTGTTTTCTGTTCCATACATTATCACACTAGCAGACCTAGGCAAGCAATTTCCATCACCAAGTACACTTGCAGGGAAATATCCTTCTTCCTTGACATCATCCGGCAACAGTTCCATCCCGAGCTTGTCAATATGTAACCCACTTCCAGAAATAGAAATGTCTTCATCTTTGTTGCACCTAAGATGTGGTATTACACTTGCGAGTTCAGTTCCTTTAATCATCATGTCATCTACTGTAGTAGAGCTCTTCAAAGTTTGTAATATAACTTCAAAAAGAGTGTCCTTATTATCTTGCACTCTTGCAATATTGACTGATAGTTCATTGATTTGTGGTGAGGTATTTTCAAGAGAGTGCAATTCTTCAACTGTTGTGTCTTGTCTGTTAAATTCTTTTTGTTTTGGTAAATCCTGTGTTCTTTCTTGTGAGTCTGCTTTTTTGTGGCTATTTGAACGAGTTGCTCTTTGGTTTTTCTTGCTCAACTGTTTTCTTGGAGTTTCCTTAAACAAACCTTTGACATTTTTCTTGTCAACTTTCTTACTTTTTTTAGAGGTGTCTTTCTTGTTCAACTGTCTTCTTTGTGTCTCTTTTATCCAACCTTCTACCATGTCTACATTATGACAGGAACCAGATCCTTGTATGCATGTTGAGCTAAAACAGCTAAGTGTGCGCTTTTCTAGAGAAGCCGAATCATTGGAAGCCCTCACAGAATGAATTTGTCTGGTTTCAGGAACAGCCTTCACATTGGTCCTCTCTTGGCGTTTTCTGTTGACATCACCTTCCTTTACTATGAAGAAATTTCTTCTAAAATGACAACATTCATTCTGCGAGTCTAGTGTTGGCCGTCTTAAATTTGCCTCTGCAAAATCAAAGAATTCACTTGCATTTTTCACCATGGCTTTTCTGTTTTTTACAGCATTTGTTACAATTCTTTTAATAACCCCGAATTCACCATCACATGGTCCTTTACCATGCCTGCTTCCAAAGAAGTGTTTCTCAACAGGAAAGCCAAAGTCTGATTTGCTGTGAAGAGCATCTGCAAATGGGGTTTTCGACTTGAACTGTGATGCTGCTCCATCACTGAAGTGAATCTGCCTCTTAGATTTAATCTCATAAACTCTTTGTATATACTCGTTTGCCAATGAAATACAATGTTGAACATAATGAAAGTCATGTTTTTTGTCTTCTGACACATAGATCATGCTTTGAGTTACGACTAACTTACAGAATTTGCATCTGATGTAGGCAACAATGCTGAAAAGAGTAACTGTGTCATGAGACCAATGTGCACTTTGTGCTTCATCCTGGTATATACATGTGTAATTTTCTGCAAAATCACTACAGAAAACAGTCCAATCAGACGGCAAATTCTGTGTCACATGTCTGAATTGGTCATGTTGCCACCAGGCAGTATTTAAGTGAGCACTGAATGGCTGTAATTCTTTTTTGAGCTCTTCAAGGAAATTATTAACACTCTCTTTCTTTAAACTTAGAACCTTCTTTGATTTTTTTTCATTTGCATGCATATACGTCTGCGTTTCCCATTTATACCATTGTATAATATGCCTTTTGTTCAAGTCTAACTGGGAAATAAACTTATCTACCCCACATAATTTGAATAAGCTTTTAACACATTCAATTTTGTAATATCTAGATCCTTCTGGTTTTTGGCATACAGTTCTTGCTAACAAGTCATATCTGGTGTTAACTCCTTTAATATTTAGTGCCTTTACTTTATATTGAATATTTGTACAATACTCACAAAGACAATTGTTAAAAATAGATTTACTCATAGTCTGTACAGTCTTGGGTCTTAGTGCAGTGAACTTGGAAAAATTTAATGTACATTCTTGGTTTTCTTTAAGGAATTCATTGTAGTTGTCCCTTAAACTGCTCTGCAAGATTCTTTTTGGTTCTTCAGATTTCAATGATGCCTGTTTTTATCCGGCAGACATACAGTGTCAAAATCTTTGTAGAATTTTTCTATCTTGTCAATTGTATCTTCTGTCAAAGCATCACTTCTTTTTGGTGTTTCAGAATCTTCTTCCCATACATCTTTAAGTTTTGAACATTTAACTGCAAATTTCCAAGAAATGCCAGCCTTTCTCTTTTCAGTATCTTTAAGTATGAAGCTAGTTAAAAGTCTTCTTTTCTTTAAAACCTCCTTAGTGCGATGTTTTCTGGTTTTATGCAAATCATCTTTCATCTTGCAGATTATTTCTTGGCTTATCCTAAGATGTCTTTTTTTTGTTGGTGTCAGTAAAAGGCCATGTTTGGTCAATGCTTCTCTTTTTCTTGGAGTTGCCTTAGCAGTCAACCCACCAACTACAGATGCAAACTTTTCAGGTGATGAAGGTAGATGCAACGAGGCTCTGTACACAGCCTTTCTTTCTGCTTCCTTTGTTGAATACCCTTGGTGAGTTTCTGTTGATTCAGCTGGCATTAGGTTTTCAGTTGTGCTCTTGGATTTATTCAATTTGTATTGCAACCGCCTTTTTTCATTAATTCTTCTTCTCTTTTGGCTTGAGTACTTTGCTCGTTGTTCTTCTTTTTTTCTCTGCCAGTATTCTCTTTCTGAACTTACTTGTGCACGTGTTTTGGGTTTAGGTTTTTTTTTTAATTTAACAATTTCCTCTGGTTTTCTTTCTTCTCCCCATTTACGTACTCGTAACCTCGTTTTTTCCCTCTGATTGATTTTTTGTTCAGAAGACCAATTTTCCCTCCATTTTCTATTTCGTTCTTTTTCTCTTTCTAAGTATGCAATATAATTTTCAGGGTCTTGTTTTATTTTGTCCCTGTAATTCTCTGACCTTTGTGCAGCAGTTTTTTTTTGTGATGCAGATTCTGATAAATGTATGGTATTTGTTTGGACATCATTGCTGATCTGTGGCCGCATTTGCGACCTCAACTTTAAGCGTAAAAACGACCTGAAAGAAATAATACAGTGGCATTATGCTTTCTGGTCTGTCCCAGATGTTTTTGGTAAAAGTTGTTTATTATGATGTTGAAGTCGTATCAACTTCAAACTTGGTATGTGCATGTTCCTTATAGTATGATCTTTCTAAATTGTATGTTAAATAAAGGTTTTGATCTCATTTTTATGGTTCACTATACTTAGAAATGTGATAATGTAATAAACTGTTGACACAGGGATATGTCTCGCCTATATGCAATTTTGATAGTTTAATGCAATTGTTTAAATTAAAACAGCAACATTTAAACATGAAAACTATTGAAAAATTTTCAAAGTCAATGAACCATGACTGAAAATGTGATGTCAAATAATCTTTATGGGGGAGATAATTGTGCAAAAACAAATGGCTGAAAAGGTTATTTACCGCTAAGTGTCAATTTTGAGGGTTATTCGCCCTTACATGTACTTGCTATTAGGTGTAATACCACCATTGATTTTCCCCTATTAGTCTATGTTAAATTTGCACTTTTCAAAAAAATGTGCAGAATTTATCTTTGTTTCAAATAAAGAAATACTTGGCATGAGTAAAGTTTTATCCTGTCCAGTACTATAGAAAAAAATTCACATAACATTTCATTGCATATAAGACAATAACCATCACTGGAAGTTAACCAATCAAATTTTCCCCCTTTTTTAACCTGTGTACAAGCTTTAGTAACCATGTAACCTCAAGTTAACAAAATATTCTATAGAAACCCCAAATAAAAAAATAATGGTGCTTTGAAATACCCAAGATATATATTTATGACCCAGAAATGTTTTACTGCAATGAAATGTAGGATCAATAACTTACAACTGTCAAATTCAAGGGAATATTTTTTTTCGACCTATTTTCGTATGCAACCGGATGTGACGTACTATGATTTGGTGGTATTACACCTATTAGATGAAAATTTATTGAATAATTCCATGTCATAGGATAATGTATTTAAGGAATGACTGTAATATTTTTTCTGTCTATGAAGAAATAACATAAAAAATGTGGTGCACACTGAATAACCCGCGTAGCGGGTTATTTAAAGTGTGCACCACATTTTATATCTTATTTTGAATAGGCAGAAAAAATATTACAGTCATTTCTTATAATTTAATTCTTAATTCCATTTCAAACCGGAGTAAATCATGAAAAAACGTTGATGACGTCACGATCACATGACAAAATTATGTCTATGAGCTGATAAACAAGAGTGCACACGCTGAAATGTCTCGCCTTCTTTACTAATCATTGATATTATGTTGATAGTCCTAAATATAAAGCTTTATTACAACTGTCACATAAACTTAACATTAACCAAGTAAACTAAACATTAAGTTAACCAATGAACCATGAAAATGAGGTCAAGGTCAGATGAACCATGCTAGGCAGGCATGTACAGCTAACATTTCTTCCATACAACAAATATAGTTGACCTATTGCTTATAGTTTAAGAAAAACAGACCAAAACACAATAAAATGCTCCGCTGGGGCGCAGCTTGATACGACCGCAGAGGTCGAAGCCTGAACAGTTGGGGCAAGTATGGACACAACATTCAAGCTTGATGCAGCACTGAATTTGGATTGTAATTAAATATTTGACACAGCATAGGTTTCTGACACAGAATGAAAGTGGTCTAATAACTAAAAAATTTTAATTTACCTATTCAAACCATATCATTATTATTTGCTTTTTATATATAAATCAGAAATAACCAATTTAAAATGGTAAATTTTAAAGAAAAAAAATGAAAAAAAAATCCCCCCCCCCAATTTTTTGAACCCCCTTATGATTCATCACCCATAAACTCAATCCCAGCTTTCCTTTTGTGGTATGGAACCTTGCAGTACAATTTCATAAAGATCCATACACTTACACACAAGTTATTGTCCTGAAACTAGAAAAATGCTTGTTTTTTTTGCCCTTTTATGGCCCCTAATTACTAAAATTTTGAGAGAATTACCTCCAAAATAAATCCCAGCCTTCCCTTTGTGGTATGGTACCTTGCAGTACAATTTCAGAAAGATCCATACACTTGAACACAAGTTATTGTCTGGAAACTAGAAAAATGCTTGTTTTTTGGCCCCTTTTTGGCCCCAAATTCCTAAACGTTTAAAGCAATTAACCCCAAACTCAAACCCAGCTTTCACTTTGTGATATGGAACCTTGCAGTACAATTTCATAAAGATCCATACACTTACACACAAGTAATTGTCCTGAAACTAGAAAAATGCTTGTTTTTTTGCCTTTTTATGGCCCCAAATTACTAAAATTTTGAGGGAATTACCCCCAAAAACAATCCCAGCCTTCCCTTTGTGGTATGGTACCTTGCGGTACAATTTCAGAGAGATCCATACACTTGAACACAAGTTTTCGTCTGAAAACTAGAAAAATGCTTATTTTTGGCCCCTAATTCCTAAACTTTTTGGGCAATTACCCCGAAACTCAATTCCAGCTTTCCCTGTGTGATATGGAACCTTGTAGTACAATTTCATAAAGATCCATACACTTACAAACAAGTTATTGTCATGAAACTAGAAAAATGCTTGTTTTTTGCCCCTTTTTGGTCCCTAATTTCTAAAATTTGGAGGCAATTACCCCCAAAATCAATCCCAGCATTCCCTTTGTGATATGGAACCTTGTGATACAATTTCAGAGAGATCCATTGACTTACACACAAGTTATTGTCATGAAACTAGAAAAATGCTTGTTTTTTGCCCCTTTTTGGCCCCTAATTCCTA